GTGAAATATATTTATGTTTGTGGTTGTAATGTGACAAAATATGGAAAAGTTCAAGGGGTATGAATACTTTTGCAAACCACTGTATCTTCAATCAGCACCACAGTGTCCAATAAGCACCAACCATGACTTCAGCTCATTAGAATATTTAGCACAGCCTCTTCCAATATAAAAACCTCTCCCCTTTGATAAGAGAGCTGCAGAGGTTTTAATTGACTGGCAAATTAAAGACGAAGCACTATGACAAAGATCTGCAGAAGAGGATTCCTGTCTTCTTTCATCCTCGTCTCGTACATCGCCGTGACAACTTCGATGATGCTCGACTTGACTGAACTGAGAAATAAAATTTCCAAACTCAAGGTGAACCCCAGAGGGAACCTTTGGGCAACAGGTAGGAAATTTAACGCAATAAGTGGCAAAACTTTGTTTTTTTATATATTTATTTGATAATGTAAATTTAACATTTTGTATCACGAAAGTCTTATCGTTTGTTCAAACAGGACATTTTATGGGGAAGAAAAGTGTTGGGGAAAGCTCCTTGATGGAGTCTGCCTTTGAACAAAGAGATATGCCCTCTGACGGTGGTAAGAATATTGTTCAGGGAGAGGAAAGCCTGCAGGAAATACTCATCCAGATGTTGAAAAGAGCCAAGCATACAGAGGAGAAGACAATAAACAGGTCAGTTTATTATTATTATTATTATTATTATTATTATTATTATTATTATTATTATTATTACAACAAATCTAATTTTATGTTTCCTGTTTTTGTAGAGAAGGGGGAGATCCTGTTTAAGGAGCACCATACTTATCATCATCCTGCTGATGACGTTTTATTTAAAAAAAACGACTACAAATTTGTAACATAAATAATTTTTTCTTCAGATATGGTTTAACATGAGTGATACCCTCTCAGCACTCTTACTTTTTGTCATTTATCATATATGCTCTTGATTTATTAATAAAAAATTTGCAAAGAAGCTGTAATGAAGCGTTTTGTTTCATTTAGGTGTCTTTGGCGCCACCTGGTGGTCGCTCTACATATAAATTCCGGGTGAAAGTAGCAACGTGCTGCTACTCGCGCGGCGGTTCAGGATAGAGGCTGAAACTACTTTAGCTATGCCCCTAATAGTAATGTGTGGGTACCCGTGTAGTGGTAAAACACGGAGGGGAGAGGAGCTGAWGGCGCACTTTGAGAAGAACACTGAGCGACAGGTTCATGTTGTTGGAGACGGAGTCCTCGGCGTTGATAGAAACACTGTTTACTCAGGCGAGTTCAGCTAGCTTACCTGTCATTCTGTGGTCCTGTTAGCTTTATGCTAACTTAGTTGCCGATGTGTCTTGTTAGCAAACTATCTCGGGAATCACTGAGCGTACTTTAATGAAACCCGGGGAAATAATCTTTGGATGTGCATCTACAACTGATTCACTTTTGGGGTCAGCCAGATTAAAGATGGCTGCTACATCCAACTGAACTGAAACTGCAGAAAAAATACTGGAAATCACTTAGTTTTGCATAGTGAGCTAAAATTTGGTCTTGTTGCTCAGACTTAAAGCTATTAGGCGTCAAAGCTGTTTGTCAGCAAAATATCTCATAAGTCACATGACTGCTTTTAATTAAGCTTTCATTATTGGCTTCAAAAGGACAGCCACACAAATTGACTAAATTTATTTCCATGTTACAAATGTTGAGCTAAAACAATTATGTGGTCTTAGCCTGACTTGTGATTTTGCTTGAGATCATCCAAGCCAGATTTAAGGATACTGATGCCTATCAATTGGATATTGCTTTAAAATTATTTTCTCTATCAAAACCCTGAACTTTCCTTCTGTCTGTGCCTTTTTGGATACATTGCAGATTCTCAAAAGGAAAAAAATGTCAGATCATCTCTGAAAGCTGATGTAGAGAGGTGGGTTTTTACTGCGTCAGTACAGTTAGATATAATAATAATGTTACATATTTATTTTCCTGATTATTTTCTCCCTCAGGAAGGTCAACAAGGACAACATTGTTATTCTGGATTCATTAAATTACATTAAAGGTAATTTTTAAGCAAAATCTGCTTGTTCTTTTTTATCAAACACTTTTATTTACCTTTTTAAAATGTCCCACAGGGTACCGCTATGAACTCTTCTGTCTCATCAAGCATGCACAGACACCACACTGTCTGGTTAGTCAGGAGATAATAATTTTAAATTGAAATGAACAGTACTGCTGCCACAGGTTAAATATTATTCTGTGTTTTGATGAAGGTGTACTGTTTGACCTCAGATGAAGAGAGCTCGGAATGGAACAAAAACAGAGAAACTACTGAGCAGTACAACCAGGACACGTGAGTGGGAAACGCCTATGCGAAATCATTCATCATTTTTATGGTTGTCAAAGTAAATTTTGTTTTTATTCGCCTTGTTTTGAAGCTTTGATGCACTAATCCRGAGGTTTGAAGCGCCGGACTCCAGGAACCGATGGGACAGTCCTCTCTTCACCGTACTGAAGGACGACCAGCTTCCGCTTGAAGCAATTTCGGACGCACTTTTCAAAAGAAAAGCTCCCCCACAGAACCAGTCTACTCAGAGCGTAAGGAACTTCACTCATTTTATTACAGGAAAATTATGTTTAGTACACAAAATTGTGTCATGCAGAAAAAAAAGTAGCTTTGTTAAACCTCGTGATTCCAGATTCGTAATGTTTCATTTACCATTATGTCCCCCACAGCAACCTCTGTCTTCTGCAAACTTCTTGTACGAGTTGGACAAACTCACACAAGACGTGTTAATGGTGAGTATTTGTGTGTTTATATCTGTTTAATTAGTCAGATTTCCTGCTGTCTTTGTAATCTGATTAAAAAAAGATTAACACAGGGATATCCAGAGTTCAAGACTCCAATTTTTKTTGTTGTTTTGTTTTATTTTGAGGGGGTTGGTTAGAAAAATGCACTGCCCGGCCAAAAAAAAGGTCATCACCTGGATTAAACTAAGCAAATAGTAAGAGCCCTCCACCGGATAATTACTGCATGAGTGATTATGTTTCAGCTGGCAACAGGTTGTTTAACTGTAGCTAATGCAGTGAGTAGCTTCTAATATGCTAAACAACCATGCTGAAAGATGTGGTCATGGAAAGGATGTTAATCTGTTTCAGAAGGGTCAGATTATTGGCAGTAATCAGAGAAAAATATCTAAGGAGATTGCTGAAACGACTAAAATCCGTTTAAGAAATTTGCAAGGAAGAATGAGTTCAGATTTACTCTATTCCAGAGGGATGGAGGCGGCGGAAGTGAAGCACCCATCATTCATAGTGCTGTTATGTGAGACATCAAAATTAAAACTCTGGACAGGAAATAAAAGATGCCACAGTGAGTGCATGCCAAAATCAAAACTAAAGGTGGTCCAACGAAATATTAGTGAGTGACCTTTTTGTTTTTTTAGCCAGGCAGTGTGTTTGTGCCTTTGACTGACTCTATGATGTATAGCAGGCATTACAACAACAAGCTTACAAATATTTCTTGTTTTTTTTTTTTTTGTTTGTTTTTGATCTGTCTGTTAATTGCTGTGACCCAGTAGAAAAAATGCCTACTTTGTGATTGAACATTTTCCACCGGTGTCTTTCTTGTAATTAATAATTGAATAATAATAGATTGAGAATTAACTGTTTTTTAGACTGGTTTAGTTGTATTTCTCTGTCCTTGTGCTTCACTTTTCAGATTGTTAGTTTTAATAAACATTATAAAATATCTTTCAGGCAATTTTTAATGCCCAGAAGACGAGCATTCCCGGGGATCTCATCTCAGTTCCAGGAGCAACAGAAAAGATATCCTTTCATAAGCATAAATAATTATCCTCCTGTTAATAATTAGTCACAGCTTTAATGCTACCTTAGCATATCAGTTTTCTTGTGAGATTATAATTCCACGAAGGCTTGGTCTCCCTCAGATAGTGACTGAGCCATGAATTAATTTTTCCTCATCTGCTAAAGAAAGTCACGTTTGCTCACAGTCGGGAGGCAAAGGCCTCGACATGAAAGGCTTCCAGGAAGTCATAAAAAGATYAGAATTAAAGGTACAACATGACAGGACAGCAAAGGTGAAGGTCTCAGCTGTGATGAAATGATATGGGATATGATGCAAGAAGGCAAATAAACATCATGGTAGCAAAAGCAAATTCTTTGATGTTATTTTCTCTCCTTTGAACATGTTTGTTTGAGCAGAGCTAACTTCAAAGCACGTAGCCTTCATTGAGGGATGTGTCATTTTAATATAAATCATCAGATGCACTCTTTCGTGTGCCTTAAAGCCCTAAATGAAAAGCCGTAATCTTGACTCTGTTCCTTATGAAATATTATGCTAAAGATCYTCTATTAACAGCTTAATGTCCTTAACCTGAAGTGAAACGTGGAGCTCAGCCGGAGCATCAACATGGCAGAACTGCGGAAACTTCGGCGCCAGTTCATCAGCTACAGCAAGATGCACCCGACAGAAAACACAGGACAAATTGCCAACATGTTTGTTCAGTATTTAAATAAGAGTCTTCATTGAATTCCTATGTTTTTGTAGTTTGTCAAATAAATATATTTAAATGTGTTCAGAAACGTCTACCGATGATTTCCRCATTGATTTTTAAAGGATATATTACAAAATAAATGACCAGTTAAGCAGACGACTGATACCTTAGGTAAAACTTTGCAAACGTTTTCTTGTGCTTTCACAATAACAAGCAGCACGGTTGCTCAGTAGAGCTGTTGCCTCTCAGCAAGGAGGTTGCCAGATCAAATCCCAAATGGGGACCTTTCATAAAATGGCATGAATTGTAAAATGTTCTGTGACATTGCCTTAAGACTTAGATGTTCCAAGATCCAAATGAAAATGTACAACTAGAATATTAAGCTTTTGCCATTTTTTAAAAATATTTTAATCAAAAATCTTTCTTAGAAGTAGTAAAATGTTGGTGACTAAAGCACTTTCCAAGTCTTTGTATTGTATAAGAGGATTGAGAAGCAGGACTCTTATTTTGATGAGCTTACAAGTTTMAGAGGTTCTCTGCAAGATGTTGATTGAAGTGCAACTGTGTGCACAAACAGCTAAACGTGAAGTTAAAAACTACTACAGTCACTGGTATTTCAAATATATATTTATTCAAAAAAATATTTTTCACATCAAAGACTGTACAAGGGCAATTCTCCAAACCTTCATAGATTTAATTAGACAACCCTTTATTCAGAATCAGTTTTATTGTCAGTGAACATTCACAGACTAAGAACTTGCAGTTAAAAACAACCATTCTTTTTACACACACATAAACATGGGGGAGAACGGATGATCAGGTCTTGCGCAACATGGTCATGCTACCTTTTGCAGCTTGGAAATACCCAATAGGACAGATGAGTGTTTAAAGTTTGAAGTTTTTTAAATCTTCAGTAAAAAAATACAAACACGATTAACATACAAGACAATATTTTTCCTATTTTGTTCTAGGTTTTTTCTTCAAAGGGACAGCCRTGCCAAAGATTCGATCCCAGTGTCTGAAGAACGGGGCGTAGTTGCTGCTTGGCTTCTGGTGGTGCATGTCGTGAGCCGGTGCACCCCCCAGCAGACCGAAGGGCACCAGGTGGTTCAGGGCCCACGGCAGGTCATAGCCTATGTGGTCCTCCACGGACATCCAGAGGCTGAAAACCATCATGCACCAAATGCTSAGTGGATGGCACTTTAAAAACACCGGGTCCATGTTGCTCCAGAATCCCACAGTCATCAGTTCTGGGATGCTGAGCTCCTCTGTAGACCATGAGAATGGCGCCATGTACTCATGGTGGACCGCATGAACCCAGCGGTAAAGCTGGGAATTCTTATGGTGGATGTAGTGCCAGATGAAGTACTGAGTGTCAAAAAGGAGAAGAGAAGCCAGTGATTCGGTGACTAGCTCAAACAAGGTTGGAGCCTCCCTTGGAAGTATTGGTTGCGGCAGAAAGAACGTGCTGATTATTACAGCTGGTAGAACGAAGAAAATATGGTTAAATAAAGCCGTCATGAAGCTTTTAACCATCATCCTCAGTGTCGGCTGCCTGTCTGGTTGGATCTTGTACTTGTGGAATAAAGGGACCCTTTCTCCCAGAAGGTCCAAAACAGCAAAGGGTACACTGAAGAAGCAGTAGCTGAAAAAGGCGAGTATGATGATGAAAAAGGGAGACGAGATGAGAGACCGGTGGTGAAGACACAAGTGATCCCATAGTGGCTGCAGGAGACGGTCCGATGGCCTGAAGCCCTGAGACGGCAGAGCCAGCTCACTGACGTTCAGCATCTTGGTGCGGTGCCACTGCTGACCGAGACTGAGTCCAGTTTTATACAGAGGAGTTATGAAGGGACTTTGCTCTGAGTCAAAAAAGATCAGCAGATTTTCTCCAACCTGCATTTGAGTGTATGAAAACGAACATACTGTACACAAGATTAGCAATCCAGCAGGCGAACTGGACGCAAAGCAATACGCTTGAGATAAAGTTGATCGATGTAAGTTTCAATTTTAAGTCTTGCAATTTATTATCTAAATCATCTGCAGGGTTGCAGAACAGGTCAAACTATTTCAAAGTGGCTGTTGTCCTCCAGTGAGAGAGTTGGGGGTTCAATTCCACCTCTATTCTTACTGAAGTGTTCCTAGGCAAGATACTTAACCCTTCATTGCCTCTGATGTGTCCCATCACAGTATGGATCAGCTATAAGTACAATCCATACCATCCTGATGCATCTCAGTAATCCAGGTAGAAAAATCAAAAAGAAAAATAAGTAAGTCCTCTGGATGGGTTTTTCTTTAGTGAAACGTTTCGTCTCTCCTCCGAGAGATTTCTCCAGTCTGAGGAGTTTCAGCCCTATAAGCAATGCCTCCACAAAGTGGACAAACAGGTTAGTCACATGCTGAAGAGGTTATTAACTACTTTCTGTACCACATACTGTACCCAGGTGAGGCCGCTCCTAGTCTCAAAATTCCCAAACAGGATGTACCAATAAGACCTACTGTTAGCATGATTAACTCTGTCACTTACAATGTTTTCAAATATCTAGCATCAGTACTTGGTCCATTAGTTGGCATTTCAGCTCATCACATACAGAACACCATGGACTTTGTGAACAAGGTGAGGGATGTCATCATGGAGACGGATGAAACTATGGTCTCCTTTGATGACACATCACTCTTTATGTGCGTTCCTGTTGATAAGGCAGTGGATGTGGTCTGTGTAAGATTAAAATCAGACACCACTCTTAGCAGCAGAACCACTCTTTCCACAGAACAACTGGGCCAACTCCTGAAACTGTGCCTGGAGTCAACCTACTTCACATATGGGGGCAATACTATAGTCAGAAACATGGGTACGCTATGGGCTCCCCATTTTCCCCTATTGTTGCAAACCTGTACATGGAGGAGTTGGAAAAGAGAGCTTTGATGTCCTTTACAGGGAGACCACCGAGCCATTGGTTAAGGTATGTTGATGACACCTGGGTTAAGTGTCAGGAGAACTGTGATCAGTTATACTGTACATCGGGGAAACAAAACAGCCACTGTTCAAAAGAATGAGCCAGCACAGACGAGCAACATCATCAGGCCAGGACTCTGCAGTTTACACTGATCTACAGGCCAGCGGTCACTCTTTCAGGGATGATGTTCTCATCCTTGATAGAGAGCAACGTTGGTTTGAGAGAGGAGTAAAGGAAGCCATCTTTGTGAAGAAAAACCGTCCACCATTAAACAGAGGTGGAGGSCTTCGTGTCCAGTTGTCCCCCTCCAATGTTGTTATTGCAAGTATGACTCAGCCCCCTGTGAGCAAAAGGTGTGAATCAGGGCCCCAACGATAGTCAGGTGATGGAGCACATGACCCCCTATGAACAATAGAGCTAATCAAGGCACTAACAACCTATCATTGGGCTGATGGTCCTCTTTAGAATGTGACTAACCTGTTTGTCCACCATGTGGAGGCAGGTTGAGTTCACCTGAAACTCCTCAGACTGAAGAAGTCTCTCGGAGGAGAGATGAAGCGTTTCATTAAAGAACCCGTCCAGAGGACCTACTTATTTTTCTTTTTGATACAATCCATACCATTTACCAGACTGGAGGAAATTAGCACAATCCTCCACAAAGTACAGCTTGAACTCTTGAGTTCATATTGATGAGTTTCCTGAAATGCGCGGCTTGCTTTCTATTTCTCTCAGATTAAGGTCCAGACTTTGATTTCATTAATCTAAAACAGGAATTTATCCCTTTTTGGCAGAACGACTTGTCTGCTTGGAGACACAATTTGTTTAATGCACCAATGTCAACAAGGAGCCAAATCAGCAGATCTGAGAATTTAAAGCTCCTCGATTCATTCCAGGTTAGGTTCACGTTCACCAGTGAAGTCGATCTGAAGCAGCAAAGGAGACAATTTTTAGTAACTAGTTTGAAGCCACAGCAAACAAGTTGTACAGAGCTGGAAACCATGATACTACCACCACCACCRGGCGGCTGTGGCAAAGTGGTTAGGGGTCGTCCTGGAACCGGAAGGTCACCGGTTTGATCCCCCGTCCAGCTATCTCCGTTGTTGTGTCCTTGGGCAAGACACTTCACCCCTAATGCCTCTGATGTGTGTCCCATCAGTGTATGAATGTGATTGGCACTGATTAGTCTCCACAGTGATTGTACATGTTAGCTTTGTAGAGACYTAATAAAGTGCTGTGTGAATGGGTAAATGGGTGTGAAGCGCTTTGAGTGTCCTGGATGGATAGAAAAGCGGTATATGAGTACAGTCCATTTACCATTTACCATGTCTTACATATAAGTGACATGCCTATCCTTCAAATACAAAAAGTCAAAGAAAGCATCTTTATATTTAGGAATCTTGGCAGAATACACAGGATTTTGTGTCACATAACTGGCATATTTTCTTTTGAATTTGGCTCAGCCAAMATGAAACAGGAAGTGACATGATCAAAGGGGAACACTTTAAGAAATAAAATTCTGGTCTTTGTTTTTAAAAAAATATATTATTTGAACTCATTTTCATCTCTCTTTGATAATGACTCAAAATAATCTAAGGAAACATCAGAGTCTTCTCTACAGTTTGTGTTATTAGCCATTGTAGCAATGCTCTGTTCAAGTTCATGTTCAGACATTCCCCTTTGACATCACTTCCTGTTACTCTACATGTGAATCTCAACAACTGTTCATCTCAGTAATATGAAATTATTTTTACAATATTTTATCAGTGTTATCTTTCCAAAAACGCATTCATGTTCATTACAAAAATTTGATGCGACAGGCACTTTAAAATCTTGAATTATGCTTTCCTATTGAATAGTACAGACTATGCTCTCATTTGTTTATAGTGTGTTCATTTTATAAATGAGCCTTTTATGTAGCTCCATACTTTTATATAGAATCAAACCTTCAGTCAGGTTAAAATCATGGTTTCAATGCATTTATTGTCTTTATACAACATTATATTTTCATTTCAACATTATAAATACAAATTGGAATTTTGTTCAAAACCTAATTACAAAAGCAAAAACTTTTATTATTATGACTGTAGACTAATTACTACCTTAAAAGAAATAATTTATCTCGGTATTTCAGAGTTGATTATATGAGATCAACCATGTTTTTCTTGAATGGGTGATCTTAATTGCATTTCATTCTTCATTGCATCTCTAATGTTACGTTTGAATGACAAAGCAAATCTGATCTGAATGATGTCTTTATTCACAAAGACTAAAGTTAAATTCTGCCTTACAGCTGTGGAGTTACTGAATGAAATTAAAGTGGGACTAAATATTAAACTACAGTATGAATAACTTGAATAATGAGTGATCAAATTAAGTTTTATTGTGGGAAGAGATTGTCATAAAAATTACCATAAGTTTTGAAATCATTGCTCTTTTTTTTTTTTTTTTACAACAAAGCTCTTCATCAACCGTTACTTCTTCTCACTGGCTGCCTTCCTTGAAACCGTTTTGTTGGTGTTGCTATACTTTTGTCGATCGTTTCTAAAAACAGAGAAAATAAATAAATGAGTATTTGTTCATAAAAGTGTATTTTTTGAATCAGTAATGCTTACAGAAAACTGATGTCATGTGTGTACCTGCTCATTTTTGCCTTGTTTCTACATCCCAGTCCTCCCTCCCAGTGACTGGTGCGGGTGCCCCTCGTCATCATGCTCCCACAGCTAATGCAAGGCTTTCCATTGTTATAAGGCTGCAGGAGTAAACACAAAGTAGATTACATTCAAAGTCTTTGAAATCTGAAGTGTTTTACCCCTTTATTGTACTTTGCTCTAGTTTTGGTGGTGATTTTCAGTCTTTACTCCACCTGTTCTTTGGCGCAAAATCCACAAATCATCCTGGTGGCCAGCTCCATGGGGTGATCCTGGTTCTCGTCATGGCAAACATCACAGGCGTAAGCCCGCCCACAGCAGGGAAATCTAGGAATTTTAAAGCAAAGTTCTGCTCAAAAAGCAACAAAGTGAGCAATTTTAAAAAGAGAAAAGCCTCAGCGAGGATGATACCTCAGCCAGCGATGACTTTGTTTGTAATGTTTGCACGCTCCTTTGTCTGGCAGTGGCTTTCCTTTCTGCACAGCTGGATCTCTTATTGATTTGTAATTACAAGTTGTTGAACCTGCACAAAAACAGAGAGGTAATCAAATCTAATTACCTGCTTGTTTTGTTTACATACAGAAAACAAAGCGCAGCTTAATTATGTGCTAATGCTCTAAGTTTGTGTAACACTAAGCAGCTTATTGAATAATGTTATGAAATTTTTACTAGAAAGCCAAATGGAACAATTTCTTTGTTGTAAGGTCTTAACTCTTATCCCTTCAGAAACAAACGTTAAGTGCGCGCTGACCTAATTTGTTCGAGGAACGAGGCTGGATATACTGAAATCTTGTGCTCTCAGCCAGGATGCTGAGTTTGCCGTGACACTCTTCACAGTTAAACTCCTTTGTTTGCCCGTAGAAAACGTTCTGATAAAAAACAAGATGAGTTAATTCACAGGTCACATGTAAGCGGTGCATTTTTCGGCCTTTCACAATATTCATCACCTGCACAGGGACCTCCTGAGAGCAGCCGAGGCACCCCACAGTGAGGTCACAATCCTGAAGTACGAGGTCAGCAGGTGTAGCATTGTGAAGGTCCAAATATCCCAGGACGTCACTGTAATGGTGGAGCATGCAGGGYCTGAAGGCAGCACTGATGTCTGCATTACATTTCTCACACTGAGCCGTGCAGGAAGTCCTTCCAGTGAGCATCAGATCTGCAGTCACCTTACACCTGTAGATAGTATCAATGAGCCAAGTTTACAGCTGAGGTTTAGACTGAAAAAAAAAACGTTTATGTTTGTTACCTGTTACACTGCAGGCAAACGGTGATCTGTTGTGCCACCACAGTGGCTGTGTTTTCTCCCAGCCTCAGCCCCAGCAGCTTCACCTCCGTGCCTCTGCGAGGATCACTGATCTTGATGTTCTCCACCAGCTGACTCGCCTCCACCTCCTGCTCACCTTCGTCGCAGCCTGGTGTCTCCTGCTGCGCTGAAGTGTCCCTCTTCCCCGACCCGTCRTCCGGAATTTCCTCCGTGTTGCCGGTGTCCTCGTCTGCAGCTGCATCACTGGAGGCAGGATCAGAGCTTTCACTTGCTGCCACCTGGAGCTCTTGGTATGAGATGAACTGCAGTCCAGACTTTTCCAAATCAATGTCTTTTTTTAACTGGAGAAGAGAAAACAGTTATTTTAGTTAGGGTTCATTCTATGTCTTATGCTAGAAGGTATTTGCAGTTTGTGAATGTATTTAAACTGTAACAACCTAGCTCAATTACAAACTCATTATTATTATATTATTATTATCATAAATACCTTTTAGATAAAATAATCTTGTGAAGGACTACATGTAATTAACTTCTAACTAATGTGCATATMTATGTTGTACTGAGCTTTGTTCTTGTTTGTATTGTTTCAAACTGTTCTAAAAGGAAATTTTAAAAAACAACCTACAGATTCTGTCTTAGAAAATAACAGTGTCCCTAAAGCAGGGCTATTCAACTAARTTGCTCCAGGGGCCGCATTTACTCAAAGCCAACAGCTCGGGAACCAGGCATACACCCTCGTGTTGGGGTGATGCCCATTAATGGTAGSTGAAGCACTGCAGCATGTAAGAGAACAAGTATTTTTATCTTTTACCTTTAAAATTAATTTGTTTTGTTGCACTGAAAAATAAATTTTAAATTTACAAGTTATTTGAAATCAGTTTTATATTAAATTGAGAAAAAAAATACAATTTTGACAGGTACAGTTGGCCTCATCTCCCTAAACTGAATATATGAAATCATAGAAGCTAATGAGCTAGGACGCTAAGGGCTAAGGAGGTGGTGAATATTTCAAAGAGGAAGAGGTCCTAACAATGAACCTTGTGGTACTCCGTGGCACAGCTTTGACACCCACACAAATTCAAGCCAAAAAGATGCTACGTTTTAGATCAGCGGGGTCCCGTCCTGGTCCTCTATGCTATCCTGCATGTTTTCTCGTTTCCCTGCTCCAAAACACCTAATTCAGTAATTGAATTCCTTTTTAAAAGTTATGCAGAAGCCATAACTGGCTTGTAGCTTTGACCTCAAACAAGATTCAAATGATTAAATTCCTTTTCTCTGAGTATTCTAATATCTTTAAATGTAAAAACAGAACACGTTTCACAAGCTCACCTGTCGGGCTCCTTCAGTAAACAGCCTCTCCAAACTCCGATCCAGCCAGCGAAGAAAAGGCCGGAAAAGTAGCTCCACCTTTCCCAGCAACTGATTAGTAGCGTGTTTAGCTTGAAGCCACTCAGTGGATGCTTGCTGCACATGCCTGCATTACCAAAGGTTTATAGAAATGTCTGTAAACACTGCTTTTGCAGAGAATGCTAATTAGTAAATGTGAAAATAAAAGTGAACATTTTTACTTTGCCATAACTGGTGGTAGATCTTGATCCAGTGGTATATCTAATGTGAAAATCTGAGTGGCACAAAACAAGGCGATGAAAAAAAGAAAGTTATTTCCAAGTCAACCATTCAACACTTATAGTATTATTAAGAAATAAAGGCAGTTCTTTACCTCTAGAGGATAATCATCTGGGAAGCTGACCATTATATCAACTTCTTTCAGATCAAAAGGCTGTAAAATATAAAGTTCCCTTTACAAAACAAGTTTGAATTTAAATTCCACGTTGCAGCTAATGTCAGCTTATTCAGTAAAGAATGACATCAAAAGCCCATGTTCTCAGTGAAAAACAATAAGTAAAAGGAGGGGGGAAACAATTACCCAGTCTGGATCTGTAGCTTCTACAGACACCCTGTAATACGTCACTTTTCCATCACTTCTTTCCTGAATGATCAGCTGATCTTTGGGGAAACGCTTCTTCAGCTGTTGGATTTCAGTGTCTCTCAGCTTCTTGGCTGTGTCCTCAGTCATGTCGCAAAGCTTCACCTCCTGGAGGCCACCAGGACGGGACGCTGGGGGAAAGCTTGCTGGAGCTTTAGATGGATTTCCAAAAACAGGCATGCCATCCACCGGAAGTAAATGTGGTGGATGCCAGAAGCGACAATTCTCCTCCATCGTGCAGCACCCTGAGAGAAAGTAGCGACAGGGGCGGTGGACAGCTGCGGGGGCAAACCTGGGGTTATGGGTAAACAAGGGCCTGTACCCCTCATGTTGACTTAGTGAGTGTGACGGTGCAGCATCCGACTGGCCGGACATCCCATCAGCTTTGCTCTCATCTCTCACGTGTAAAAATTTACACTTATTGCCATAGWTGCAACGTCGTCCTTGAGAAAAGAAGCGGCACACTGGCTGAGTTTGAGGAACTACCTCAGATTTACTTTCTTCTGTGTTCTCTTCTCCACCACACTCCATTTTTTACCTGAGTATACAACACAATGGCGTTTGTTAGGAAGATAATCATTTTCTATATTCAGACAAAAGTGGAAAGTTTTAGCCTACAACAATGGCTTTTGATGTTTTTTAATTTATTTTTTAAAGCAATATGTATTGTGCTGTGCAAAAGTCTTCATCCCTCATAATATAGATTACAAAAAGTCTTAAGTGATGGTTCAAAGTTTCTTTAGATATTTGGTTGCTTTTTCACTCATTTTAAGTCCAGTCCCTGRCTATTTAGACAGAAATATATTTTTTATTTTTATGTTGTTCATTGTTAAGTCTGTCACTAGGAAGCTACTTTAAGTAAGATTTTTACGCTTTTTTAACCACAAGCCTGTTACAAATTATCCCTAACTGATTCTATTAAAAAATAGTACACTGTTTGAAACATAAAATGTATTATAGTTCCAGTGACTCCCCCCAAAAAGGTTATTAGCCAAGTTGGTCAACTGAAAATGGGATATCTGCCAGGTCTAAGCCGGATTATTCCTGTTCCTTGATATCATGGCTTTTATACACTTCAGCTACTGAAGGTGGCCTGTCAGCTCAGCAGAAAGTCGGACCCCACAATAACAAACTATATCGAAATAAGGGACGGTTTAAAAATATTTACTGAGTGCTGGACATGTAAAATATTTTAACAAAAAATAAATAAATAAAACGTAAAAGAAAAAGAGGTAAAATAATAATAATAATAAATAAAACGTTTTGTGAAAATATATCATTACCTGAACACCTGGCACAGGTCGGCCCAAAGCTTTTCTCCCAGACGCTAAAATGAGCAGAAGTTGAAGTTGTTTCGAAACCAGACACTTGTCAGCTGACACCACCACGAACTCCCTCCTTCCGCTTTCAAAATGATTTAACTCTTGTTACAATTTCAGTTTTCGTTGCTTCAACTTTTCACCTGCAGTGAAGCCCTTCGAGCTCCACCACAAACGAGTAAATAATTAGCCAAGTTTGTTGTTGTTTAACGTCAAAGAACTGCGCATGCTCAGGCTCGTTTACACTCACTGACATCATATATCGCCACCTACCGGCTCGGAGTACTGATGTCAGCGTGCGCAGTTAACTTTAAACTTTTTTTAACCTGTCTGCTACTGCTGAGGCATAAATATATTATATAAGTTCTGTCAGAAAACCAACTAGGGTAGTTCCGTTGTTGCGAAACCACAAATCTTAGTCTATCCAGCTGTAAACAATTAAACCTAATTGCTGGCGATTGACCGGTTTGGTTTAAAAACAAGCCGGATTTAATGGGATTTTCTGGCTTTTTGTTAAGATGCTGAAGTTTTTTTCAACTATTATTCATAGATCTTTTTCAGATGAAAATAAAGACAAATATGTTAATACCAAAGGGTTGTGTGAAAAAAAAAAGATTTTCCACATTTTTCATTGCCTCCGTGGCCTAAGAGCAGCAGTCCTGGTCCTGAAACAAAGCATGAATAATATATGTTCTTGTTGTGTTAAACCTTTTTTTTAATAAGAAATGTTTATTTACTTTTTTTATTCCGTTGTATAGTTTTAATATTTTGGATGCGGTTTTAAACAATGCCATAGTCAGTTTTAAACCTTGCAAAATAGGCTGTGTCCAAAACGGCAGGACGGGTCCTCCGAAGGTCGAATTTGTCGGCCGCATACGTCATAGCGCCGCGA